AGGATGTTCTTTGCATGTTTCTTTGTTGCCCAGTGGTGGCCTTTTCTGGGGAAGAGTTCCCCTTTAAACTCAACCAACAAAGAAAGGATGCCCTTTTGTTCCCAGGCCACTGGGCATTTGAGTATTCCTACACCCTGGGATTACACCCTTCTTCTTTTGTGGCTTCTGGGGAATCCACCGGCAATCCGCCTGTTGCCCCGCGCTCAGGCGGATTTGCTCAGCAGACAAAGCAAACAAACCTAGGGCCCAAATAAACCAAACAAGAACCAGCGTTTTATTTCCGGAAATAGGCTATAGGGTGATTCCCCAAAGGGTCTAATCCCAGGGAGTAATAGAAAAACTCTTGGATTCAGACAAACAAATCAGCCCTAAGACGAGAATACACGGGATTTTTTAAATATGGGTGTTTCTGAGAATTGGGGACCTAGATGTTGGACAGAGGGGAGTCCTTCTTGGTCAAGGGTACCAGAGTTTGGGGAAGACCCAAGCCAACCTATTGTCAGCTTTTCGCGTGGGGCCGCAAGTATTTGTGTCCGAGTCTGATGTGATGTAGATGTTGAGCAGAGCCCTTTTACCAAAAACAAATCCTGCGTTCCAAATGTCTACGCGAGACTTGGGGCTTAAAGACGGAATCTAACAACCGGTTTCCATGCACCAAAGCACAATTGTGTGCAACATTCATTTGGGACCCATTCGTAATGCATGTTTTCGGTCACATGAGGCTGCTGGCACCACGAGCCCCCGCACACCGCTGCGGGAGCGCGATGGGTGTGAGTCCCCGAAGATATGGCAAGGAGCAGCGGGCTGGGGACGAGGCGACTTCCTGATAGAAGTTTGTAGGTTTTGACTTTCTGGCGCTCTCCCCAAAATGTGTTGCCCTGAATGCCAAACCCAGGTTTGGGTCCAAGAAAAGGTGGCAAACCACTGCGACCTACTAGTGAATCAACCAACTGGACCGAGCAAATGGGCGGTTTCAGTGGAAGCTAATTCTTGCGCTTTTTAGGGGGGCAGCTTCCAGCGTTGGTTTTCTTGGATATATGACTGGTCATGTTGCTTTGGTTATGTTTGTTTGGAGTGAAGTTTGGCGGTTGTGTTGCGGTGGTTGGGGCTAAGGTGAGGGCGAAAGGTTGGTCGGCGAATTGTATCTTGTTGTCTTGGGGCTGCCGCGGGTGGGTGGTGAGTGGCTGGAGGAGAGAGCGGCTTGGCAGACATGTTTGAAGGCAAGCATTGGCAGACAAAATGAAGCTGCTCATGAAGTGTGCTTGCAACTTGCAACGCGGTTTGAAGGATTTTGAAGGTGTTTCTGGTGCCTTTCAGCCACGACTTGCGGCGACTTCACGTGGGGCAAGCCACTTTCAATGCGGTGCATTGGCGCCAGAGGTGTGTTTCCTTGACTGCTATTGGGTTGGATCTTTAGACTTTAGCCTTTTGGTTGAATTCAAGTTGGGTTTTCCACTAAAGCCCCAAACAGTTATTCACTTTTTGCAGGGGGTGCGGTGCTTTGGGGCCTCTGGGTGTCAGTGCGTTGGTTCGTTCTCCAGGGCTCCCGTGAAGCTGGGGTTTGGCTTGCGGCTTCCCCGGGCAAAAGCAAGCTGAACACACGGTGGACTCTGTTGGGCCGCAAATTTGGGCGGGACAAGCTGGGTGGCAATTTGCGGCTTCTCACGGGGGAACAAAAAGAAAAGAAAGAAAAGCAGGAGCAGGGCTGGTCGCAAAGGGTTTGAGCTGGGTTCAGTAGAACAAAGAGACATCCTGAAAGAATACCCTCTAAATGCTGGTTTCAAGGCAAGCCGCCCCTGCAAACCCCCACAAAAAGAAGCCTGACACCCTTCAGATACAAGCTCCTCACGGGGGGCGCCGAAGATTTTGACGCCCCACAACGCCCCAGGAGGAGCATAACCTCCGTTGCGCGCCGGCCGTGACCTCCGGCTTGGCTGCCAGGTGGAGTTTGGGCAGTCAGGGCCAATTTGAAACGCGCGCCGCGTGTTTCCAATGGACGTGGGCTGGGCGTACCGACTTGTCGGTCTTCCAAAGTGGACCCGGGAATTGGTGGGAAGTCCTACGGGGTGGCTTTGATGCCTTGCTGGGGTCGAAAGAACTCGATTTGGCAATTGTTCGGAGAGGAAGGCACGCGTGGAGTGACATTGCGATTGTTTTTGCAGATCCCGGTTGACGCCCAGGGATTGATTTGTGTATCCTTGTTTTGTTTATTACAAGTTAGTTGTGTTCGCCCGTTGGGAAGTGGGCCCCAAGAGTGTTTGTGGGCCATCCTTCGCGTGATAACAATTTCTTCTTTGAAATGACTCAGCAGAACGACCCAGCAGAAGACAGGGAATACTGCATCCACCAGGGTTTCTTTTGTGCTTTGTCAATTGCAGGTTATCATGTTGCAGTCCTCTTCAAGGGAAGCCCAGAAAAAATCAGAACCGCATGAGGGCTTCGTTTTTCAGGAAGATCTATTGCGCAGACATGCTTGCTCTTCAGCAGCCCGTTGACCGGC